GGTCTGCTCGGAAGAAGGCGGTATCCCGCTTTCAAATGACTAAGTTAGCCAGGGAGAAGGGTGTGTGTGTTAAAACGTAGTCAAGCTGACCTCTCTGCCGCCCGGCTATGGGCCTGCTCAGCAGAGGGGCCATGAATTTTGGTTCTGAGTTGTCCAAGGGTGGCTGATGTTTGAGCTCAATTTGTGTCTTGTTTAAGTTTTTTGATCTGGAGAGTTCAGCCCAGCAATACCAATAGGGTAGCTGAGCCGGTTCTGTTCTGGACTTAAGTGCTTTCAGGTTTTTAAATTCGAATGTACTGCCTACTGCACCCATTTCTAAGCAAAGCCCATTTTTTGCATAATTTCTCTACCTGTCTCTTTTTCATTCCTGGCTGAACAGGTAGCTGATTCCCATCCCAGGCCTCAAGCAAGTCTTTCATGGGGGAGCCTATTTTGACCCTTGAGCTAGAGCAGTGGTTCTCAACCTTTTTAATGCCGCGACCCCAACCGGTCGTAAGTCGAGAACTAAACCGGTCGTAAGTCGAGGACTACCCAACAGGTCGTAAGTCGAGGACTTTCCCTGCCTGGGAGCGCCGCGCATGCGTGGTTCCGCCCCCTGCGCCGGCCGAGGCGTAGCTGGCAAGCGGCAGAGACAGAGCAGGCCGACCACCAGCTGGCCCAGCCCAAGGGAGGTAAGGCACCCGCCGGAAAAGGGGAAAAACTGGCGGACAAAAAAATGGCGGACAAAAAAAATGGCGGACAGCCTTGCTTGGCGACCCCCGTGAAATGGTCGATCGACCCCAAATGGGGTCCCGACCCACAGGTTGAGAACCACTGAGCTAGAGCATCCCATGATACCCCTATTTCTGATGTAGGGGTTCAACTTCGGCTCTGCTGGGTCCTGATGACTTGAAGCCTCCTAGTGAGACTTCCACCAACCACTGCTGTTTTTGGACCAAAATGGGGTCCAGGAGGACTCTAGTTCCCTAACAGAATATGGATCGCTCCTTCAGGGATTCTCCTGCCACAGTTTCAGACCAAAAAGGGGTCTGCGAGGACTCTTCTGCTCCCCGCAGAGAGTATGGGCTGTTCTTTTACTGGCTTTACCTTCTCTTTTCACCTAACCACAGTTTCCGGACTTCCAGTGTTTGGGAGGACCTCTGCTTGCTTTTCAGAGGTAAGGGACGCTCTAGACTGATGCGAGGCTTTGCTTATAAATTGCTGGCGGGAGGGCCTGGTCTACCAATACAGAAATTTCTCTGACACTTTCGTTGCCCACTCGGCTCCTCTTTCTCAAAAGGTCCCACGCTCCGGTGCCCCCCCTTGCTTTCCCAGGTCCTACCGGTCATGGTTCCAGAAGAGCTAGCAGCAGGCCGGGAGGCGGCTAGAGGGCACACGAAGCAAGTGGGAACCAGCTGTTGTCAGAGGAGGGTGCCCCACACATACATTCACACACTTCTTTTCATTCTCTAGGACCCTTTTAAATTTAAAAATTTGAATTTGGCGGTACTCACCCTCTTTCCAAGTAACTGATTGAGCGCAAGTCTCAAAGAATCCCTTTAATACTCCGTTGCTGACTGTTGATAGCCGGTCTCAGATTCCGGCGGTTAAGCTTATTTTAAATGTTTAAGCTGACACTTTCTATCTGGTATGTTAAGTGTTTGTTCGCCTGGGGTTGCTTAGCTTGGACCTGAGTCAGACTGATTTTCTTTGCATTTTTTCCCCCCTATATTGGCTAATGTATTTTGTTTGATTAAATTATATCCTTTTATTGGGGTGAAGGGGGTTTCTCATCAAAATCATCCCGACTCCCCCCAAATTTGGGGGAGCCCCACATTTAACCTTTTGATTGAATGTATTTTAAAAGGCTGCCATGTTAAGATAATTCAATTATTTTTCTGCAGAGGATAGCTGTCCAGACGTCCTGTCTTGGTGCTTCACAAACCAGCCAGCAAGCAGGAACGCTAAACGAATGGCAGTTTATTCACTCCATTCAATACAAAGTCAGCACTGGGAGGCACCGTCTCCCAGTGCTTTACATAGCCAGCCCTCCAGCCCCGCCCTCGTTAACCTGCCAGCCCCACCTTCATGAGCACCACCCCGCCCCTCAAGCCACCATCTGGCCTACCACACCCGGCCCCACCCAGTCCTCGCCCTGCCGTGTCACAGCTGGGGGCAATCACAGCTGTCCGTTCCTCCGTTCTTGCTCGCCGGAATTGAGGCCGCTCCTGGCCTATTCTCCTCAGCCTGCCTGGTTGTCGGCCCTGCGAGGCGCAGGGTGATGATGTCAGAGGGGAGCGACATCATCGGCGGCCACGGTGGAGCCCAGAGACGGACGGACGATGTGGCAGCTGGCTCCCTTCCTAGCCAGGTCCGGTCGTCCTGCGGCCCCCAGGATGCTGCAAACGGGGTAAGGCGGCTGGCTCCCTTCCTAGCCAGGTCCGGTCATCCTGCGGCCCCCCAGGATGTTGCAAACGGGGTACGGCGGGCGGGGTGGTTGGCGGCGGTCACGTGCGTGGCGGGATCGGCCTCGCAGGGCTCGACAATTGCTTCTTAGGTAAATGGTGCAATTCTTGCTCAGCCACATTTCAAGAATCCAGCCTTAGGATCACAATCTGTGTAAAATTATCTCCTGCATAGAAGGTCAGCCCTCTTTCTCTTTCTCCTCCTCCTGAATCAAGGGGTAGTAATTATACCTACCTAAATCTTATTTTAGATAATTACTATTTGAACAAACAAAAAAATAAAAGCATTCCCCCTCCCAATAATCCTGATATCAGCAGTCTCACATTCTGTCTTTTTTTCTCTCTCTCTCTCTGAAAACCGTCGTCCTTCGGCTCATGGGTTCCCTCCAAATATTCATTACATTCTCAAATGTAAAATAAACACAGGCACACATCCTGCCCAACTCGCTTCCTGCTTTCTAATGATTTCTCTGGGAATTTCTGGTGGAAACCCCATTCAAGGACTGAGGTTGGTTTCCTGTCTTCCTTTTTTTCCCCATCAAGGGTTAACTGCAATTCCTGGCTTGTTTGATCAACCAAAACTCCTCCCTGGCTCACAAAATGCCTACTTTTCTCCTAAGAGCTTGTTTGTTAAAAAGGCTGCTTGTGCTGAACTGCAGACACTCTTCAAGATGTCCTTCTGGGTGGCAGTCATGGTTGCCTTGGTGGTCGGTCTTTTGGGGGCCCTCTACCTGATGGGCTTCTTCCGCCGAAGACGACCCAATGAACCCCCTTTGGACAAAGGACTCATTCCCTGGTTCGGACATGCATTGCACTTCCGAAATGACAATATGGATTTCCTGCAAAGCATGCAGAAGAAACATGGGGACATCTTCACCACCTTGATTGCAGGACAGTACTTCACCTTCTTGATGGACCCGTTGTCTTTCGGTGGCATCATCAGGGAAGCCCGAGGTAAATTGGACTTTATGTCATATGCAGCTGAGCTGGTCCTCAGGGTGTTTCGATTTGAGGCCTTCCACGACACTCACAAGATCATCGAAGTCTGCAGTGCGAAACATCTGAAGGGAGAGGGCCTAGTGATGATGACCCAGCCCATGATGGACGCTTTACAGGCCGTCTTATTCCAGTGGCAAGAAACCTCCAAAGAGGATCCAAAGTCCTGGAAAGAAGACGGCTTGTTCCACTTCTGTTACAACACGGTCTTCCGAGCTGGGTATCTGGCTTTGTACGGTACTGAATCAGCTAAAGGTGAAAACCAGAAAGAAAAGGTGAAACGAAAAGACCAGCATCACACTGAAGAGTTGTACATTGAATTTTGCAAATACGACAAACTCTTCCCACGCCTATCGTACGCCT